AAAAAATGGTTAAAAGTTAAATTTTATATTATGTATATTTTATCACAAAAATAGACAACTGTCTGAAGCAAAAATACTAACATTGTGAGTTTCATGAAATGTAGAAGTAAAATGTATGACAATAACACAAACGTCAATGAGGAAATAAAAAGTATACTATATAAAACTCTTACATTATACATGCAGTAGTATAACCATTTGAAGCAAAGATTAATACTTTAAAATATATCATTAACTCTAGAGCAATCATTTAAATAATTTACAACAGTATGTATAATTAGTAAGCCAACAAAGAAGATACAATGGTATCACCAAAAAATGCTCAAATAATCCAAAAGAGGGCAAGTAAAGAGGAAAAAAAAGAATAGATGGGATAGACAACCAAACCATTATCAATAATTACACTAAATATTAATGGTCTCAATCCAATTAAAAGACAGGGACTGTCAGAGTGGATTTAAAAAATAATACCTAAATAGGAATATAAAGACATAGATAGAATAAAGTAAAAAGATGGGGAATACCACGTAAACATTAATCAAAAGAAAGCTGGATTGACTATATTAATATTATATGACAAATTAGTTCAAAACTAGGAATACTGCCAGGGATAAAGAGGAATATTACATAAAGGGACCAATTCACCAAGAAAACGTAACAATCCCAATTATTTTTTTTACTTAGTACTACAAAGTATATAAAATAAAAAATGATAAAACTGAAAAGAGAAATAAGCAAATTCATAATTACAATACGAAATTTCTAGACTCTTCTCAATAATTGATAGAATAAGAAATTATTTAGCAGATATATAAAGATTTGAAAAAATTATCAACCAACTTGCTCTAATTGACATTTATATAAAACTCCACCCAACAACAGCAGAATGCATATTCTTATAGATGCTTTTCAAGTGCATGTAGAATAGTCACCAAAATATACCATATTATGGGCCATAAAAAACATCTTTAATATATTTTTAAAAATTGAAATGATACAAAGTATGTTCTCTGAACACAATAAAATTAAACTAGAAATCAATAACAAAAAGGTATGTAGAAAATTCCCAAATATTAGTAAATTCCCATGAATCAAGGAAGAAGAGTAATTAGAAAATATTAAATTGAATGAAAATGAAAACATATCAAAGTTTATGGGCTGGTGCTAAAGCAGAACTTGGATGAAAATTTATGGCATTAAATGTTTATATTAAAAAAAAAGATTCAACTCAACTTCTTTTACTATTAAATCTAACCTAACTCCTTATTCTAGCCCATGGAGCTTCCTCTCTACCTCTTACCCACTGTCCCTCACTTTGTTGTCCTTCACTCTCTGCCCTGATCAGAATGTGTTTATACTGTCTCTCTGAATTTTACAATCTATTTCATGCCCACCTCATCTGAAAAACTGCTTTCATTCCCCTTTTCTATATTCAAAGAATATTTTTGTTTTAGGACTCACTGGGTTCTTATCAGTTACCTTCTTGTATTTTTATTCTTTTAACATTATGTGTCATGACTCAGATTGTAAAACATCTTGAGAACAATAACCATTTTTCTTTCTTTCTTCTGTAACTCCTCTCAATACATTTTGGTTTATTCATTGATTGAAGTACCAGAGAACAACTTTTATTTCTATTTGGCATTAAACCATGACATAGTATCAAGAGGTATCTTACATATCTTATTTCCACTATTTCTGATGCCAAAAAAGTACTCTTTCCATTAGAAATAACTGTATTACACATTGGAATTCCTCAAGTCCTGTTACTAGGTTTCATTCTCTCTGCTCTATGTGATTCTACCCAGTCTCATGGCATCCATATGGCATCTACAAGCTGATGGCACCCAACTTTCTATTTCTAGCTAAAACATCTCCTTTGAGCTTCAGGCTTGACAACTCCAACTATATGTCTAATAGGTGTCTCAAACTTAACATGGCCAAGTGAATGCCTGAGTGCCCTTCACTCCCATCTCTGTCCCTAAATGTCTCCCAGTCTTCCCCATCTTGTTTTTTATTTAATAGCACTAATGTAATTTACCCAGTTGCTGAGGCCAAAACCAAGAAGATTATCTTAATTATTCTTTTTTCTCTTGCCCTCCATCTCTTACCCTCCATTATCCAATAAATCACTAAATCCTGATGATTCTAAGTCTAAAAATTTTCCTGAATATATCCATTTCCCTTAAAATTCGGACAGGTAGCAGAGAGCTGTGGCTAATAGCACGGAATCTACACCTAGACTTGCTTTAATTCAAATCCCAACTTTCCCACTTACTAGTTTAGGGCAAGTTTCCTAACTTCCTTGTGCCTCAGTTTCATCATTTGTAAAAAGGGGATAATAAAAGTACCTACTTCATAGGGCTATTGGGAAGTAAAAGTTAAATGAGTTAATGTCATATAAAAAAGAGCATCTGAAACATATGATATACCACATAAATTATAGCCATTATTTTTATCATTATCACTACTACTATCATCCTAATATAAACTAATCTACTATGGCAATAACTAGTCTCCCTGATTGCAGGTTTGCCCACTTCCACTTTACCTACCCTCCAGTTTTATTTAAAAAAAAAAAAGATATACTTCAAAGGTTCCCCATCACACTGAGGATGCAAATCAAGTTACTTTCCTGCTCAAAAAGTGTCCTACTGACACCTTCTCCTCCTACTCCATAGCCAAGCAATTTACCATTTAGAGACTACTGTTTAATGTTTTCTCATAGATTTATACTTCAGAAGGGGCTAAATCAAATAGCATTTCACATAAAAGTATCAACTTAGTTAATCAAGATTATACCTGCGTGAGGTTAGCCTGAAGGCAAAGAAGCCTGGTGAAGGGAAAGTGAAAGATGGGGGCCTTTCTAAAAGTGGGGGTGGGTGGGGAGTGACAGCAAAATCAGAAACAGGAAATGAGAAAAGAGAGATGTAGGTCTTTGTTTGCTTTGTGGTTTTACTTAGTGCCCTGGGAGCAATAGATTTAATGCTATGAGCCATTTAGACTGTCTTTGGTTCTTCTGCTAAACAATAATGTTGGGTTTCTGTACTTGTTTGGGAAACTACAGATCTTAACCTAACCTAGTTCAGCATAGGGTCTTCCCCCTGGGTTACAGAGAATGGAGAAAAGAAAAAGGAGAAAAAGGAAGACATTCTATGTTAAACCCAGGTGACCCTCCGACTCTGCAGCATTCCTCCCATCGTTATTATAAGATGCAAGACAATTTACCCATTACTGGGAATATGGAGCACTCTTAAAACTCACAACAAAAGAATCTGCTTTAAAAAATGGGCAAAAAACCAAATAGACATCTCACCAAAGAAGATATATAGATGACAAAGAAGCATATGAGCAATAGGTCCACATCATATGGCATCAGGGAAATGGTAATTAAGACAACAATGAGATACCATTAAACGCCTATTAGAATGGCTAAAATCCAAACCACTGACAACATTAAATGTTGGTGAGGATGTGGAACAAAAGGAACTTTCATTTATTGCTTGTGGGAATACAAAATGATACAACTACTTTGGAAGACAATGTGGCAGTCTCCCACAAAACTAAACATACTCTTCCCATATAATTCAGCAACCTCCCTCCTTTTTATTTACTCAAATGAACTGAAAACTAATATTAACACAAAAACCTGCACATGAATGTTTATAGCAGATTTAAAATTGCCAAAGCTTGGAAGTAACTAACATGCTCTTCCATAGGTGAATGGATAAACTGAGATACATCCAGAAAGTTAAATATTATTCATCACTAGAAAAAAAATGAGATATCAAGCCATGAAAAGACAAGAAGGAAACTTAAATGCCTATCACTAACTGAAGAAGACAATCTGAAAAGGCTACATACTATATAATTCCAACTATAAAGATATCCTGGAAAAGACAAAACTATGGAGATAATAAAAAGATCAGTGGTTGCCAGGGCTTACGGGGCAGAGAGGGATGAAAAGCCAGAGCGCAGAGGATTTTTAGAGCAGTGAAACTATCCTGTATGATACTATAATGGTGGATACATGTGTCAAAACCCACAGAATGTACAACACTAAGTGAACCCTAATGTAAACTATGGACATTGGGTGATAATGATGTGCCAAAGTAGGTTCATTGAGTGTAACAAACATACTATTCTGGTGTGGGATGTTGATGGTAGGAGAGAATGTGTTTGTTTGCAAATAGCGGGTACAAGAGTACTCTCTCTATACTTTCTATTCAATTTTGCTATGAACCTAAAACTGCTCTAAAAAATAAAGTTTATTAATTTAGAAAATCTACTGGGAACCAAAAATTAAGTCTTTGATATAGGTTAAGTCTAAAATGTTATTTGACAGGGGTCTTATTAGATAATAATAAACAATGATTAATTTGAATAAAAAATTAAATTGCTTGAGATCTTCAGATAAAAAATAGTGCCTTAGAACTCTCATACATTGCTGATAGGAATGTAAAATGGTATAGGCACTGTGCAAAATAGTTTGTTGGTCCATCAAAATGTTGAACCTATAATTACCATGTGACCCAGCAATTCTCCTTGTAGGTATATACCCCAAAGAATTGAAAACAGGTGTCCAAACAAAACATTGAACATTGACAGCAGCAATATTCATAATAGCTAAAAGCTGGAAACAACCCAATGTCTATCAGCTAATGAATAAACAAAACGGAATATTATTCAGCCATCTAAAGGAATGAAGTATTCATACATACTATAATACAGATGAATCTCAAAAAACATTATTGCATGAGAGAAGCCACACACAAAAGGCCACAGAGTGTATGATTCTATTTATATGAAATATTCAAAATATGCAAATGAAGTGAATGCTAATGGATATGGGGCTTCCTTTTTGGGTGATGAAGATGTTCTGTAATTAGATAGAGTTAATGGTTGCATAACATTGCAAATGTACTAAATGACACTGAATTGTACATGTTAAAATGATGTATTTTATCACAACAAAAAAAAGAGTGAACAAAAAAAAATACCTTGATTTTTTCACTTTCTTTTCTTACTCGATTTGCATTTTCAATAATGTAAACCGTGCTCTTGTTGACTTCATTGTCAGCTCTGTGTCTCAGCCAATCCTCATATCCCTAGAAAGATAAAAATAACTATATAATCAAGCTCAGATAATAGTGAATTAACTTCTATACCCCCTATGAGTCAACAACAGATATTTGTAATTACAGTGTTAATTTCAACTCAGAATGCTAGAGAGACAATGCTGTACATTTTATTAATAATAGCAAATCTGAGATACATTTTCAAAATACCACTTAGCTAAGTAGTTTTATTGTGTTAAAAGTTTTCTCTTCTTCCGATAAACAGTAACAAAAACACAGGCATTTGAGTATTAATATTCTTCATTTGTGAAAGACTGTGATTTATTCTTCTAATTCTATCCTTAATCAAGTTAATGTTGCCTCTACTTTTTTAACTTGAAAAGAGATTGTTCTGAGTTTGTGTTTTCTTATAGATCTAATCACTTAAGTATGTTTTTCTATACCTATTGGACTAGATTGATAGAGTGATTATTTCCAAGGAAATATTATAATTCCCACTCTCAGAGAACAGAAAACATAAGCTACACTTGTTTTGGCAGAGAATCTATAAGTTTTAGAGATCAACAGCTAAACTGCTCTACTGACTTGGCAATAAAATAAAATATACGTTGGTATTTATTTTTTAGAGTTAAATGTAATCAGGGTAAGATCTAATGGTTCATTTTCCTTTGAGTTTTTTGTCTGGAGTAAATTTAAGCCAAAAGAACTAAGGAAGGAAGATGTTCAATTGTTTGAGCATGACTTCCTCTCTTTTTCATACCCCTTTGCTTTTTTTTTTTTCATTGTGATGTCTGTACCTTGTCAAATAAAACTGTTTGAAAAATTTCTTGATCACCTCCCCCCCCCGCCCCCTTTTCCCCCCTCAGGTGCTATATCCTTTCCTCTTCTGTCCTTTATGATAATGCCAGGCTATCACTTCATAGGGTACATTCTGTGATACCAGTGAAGAAAGAAAGGCCCTAACATGAACTAGTACTGGGAGTAGAATGAATCAGTAAAAGCCTTTGAAAAACATACATGCTATTCTTGGAACCAGCAATTTCAGGATATTAAAGAAAATAATCCTACAGCCTAAGGGAAAGAACATTCCAAAAGTCTTTATTTAGCAACCAAACATTTAATAAAATATCCTTATAGTTCCTGGTAGGCAAGATGGAAAACCAGAAAACCCAAAGAAGAAAGGTAATCTTGTTGCTGGTACTGTTAAGCAGACCTTTATTTTGCAAGCTTCTTTGGTAGTCTTTTTTTTTTTTTTTTTTGAGATAGAGTTTCACTTTTTGTTGCCCAGGCTAGAGTGAGTGCCGTGGCGTCAGCCTAGCTCACAGCAACCTCAAACTCCTGGGCTCAAGCGATCCTCCTGCCTCAGCCTCCCAAGTAGCTGGGACTACAGGCATGTACCACCATGCCCGGCTAATTTTTTTGTATATATATTTTTAGTTGGTCAATTAATTTCTTTCTATTTTTAGTAGAGACGGGGTCTCGCTCAGGATGGTTTCGAACTCCCAACCTCGAGCAATCCGCCCGCCTCGGCCTCTCAGAGTGCTAGGATTACAGGCGTGAGCCACCGCGCCCGGCCCTTTGGTAGTCTTTTAAAAAGCACTTTGATAAGTACTATCTAAAAATATGTTTACAAATAGGTCCTATGGACTAAAATCCATGATAAATATTGTTAACCCATCCCCTTCGCTTCCAGTTTCCTGTTTGCATTTTCAATTTTATCTGGAATTTTTCAAAAGTACTAGAATATAAAATATTTAAAAGACATCCATACCATAATCTATGGCAATTCATCAGCTCTGATAAGAAACAGGAATAGGGGCCGGGCGCGGTGGCTCATGCCTGTAATCCTAGCTCTCTGGGAGGCCGAGGCGGGCGGATTGCTCAAGGTCAGGAGTTTGAAACCAGCCTGAGCAAGAGCGAGACCCCGTCTCTACTATAAATAGAAAGAAATTAATTGGCCAACTAATATATATACAAAAAATTAGCCGGGCATGGTGGCGAATGCCTGTAGTCCCAGCTACTTGGGAGGCTGAGGCAGGAGGATTGCTTGAGCCAGGAGTTTGAGGTTGCTGTGAGCTAGGCTGACGCCACGGCACTCACTCTAGCCTGGGCAACAAAGCGAGACTCTGTCTCAAAAAAAAAAAAAAAAAGAAACAGGAATAAAAGTCTCCTCTACCCACTACTCCCTTCAGCAGCAACAGAAGAAACAATAAAATTAAATATTTGTGCTCTTGAGTTCTCTGCTATAGGCAATAGTAACAAAAAATTCACAAGAATGGGAATTTTTCAGACAAATCTACTGCACTGAAACAATTAATACATATTAAAAAGTCCATCTTCCATTTGCCGCCTAGGCTATATACCTTCTACCTACTCTTTCTTTTATGTTTACGCCACATACACATTGAGGAGGAAAGAAGGAAATGAATTAAAGATGTGCCTTACAATCATTTTAATAGGTTTTCAATGGGAGCCAAATACAAACTAAATCCATAAAGAATACTGCCCACTATATTTAAATATGAAAAACAGTCAATGACAATGAAATTCAAACCAGCCTGGACTGAAATTCAGACATAAGTATAAATAAGAAATTTACCTGCTTGATGGCTGTAACAGTTATAACAAAGAAAAGTGGAAGTCCACTGGTAACTGGGCTAGTTGGTGTGTCTACTATAACCTAGGTAAAGAAATGAAATTGAAAGTAAAATGAAAATTAGCTATTAACCCATATGCAGCATTTACATGCTGTAAACATTTTAAACAGAAATACAGACAAAACATATTCCAATAGTAGGGTGAACGTTAATTTTCATTAACATTAACAAAAGCAAACGACAGAGCAGTTAGTTTACAAAATAATCCTATATTTGGGCATAGTTTTCATCCCAGCTTGGATTAACCCCTTTACTGAAATATATCCATTCATTTACCACCTACTTATTAAGAACCATTCTGTCAGCCCCAGTGCTATTATCAGCCAGGCTCTAGAGATATTGCTTTAAACAAGATGGAGACAAGTCCCTGCCTTCATGTAGCTGGCGGCTTATAGGGAAAACCAGTCATCAAAACAAGTATACAGATGCTGAGATATGATGAGTAAACAGGAGTTAAGTATACAAAAGGAGGCTTTCTAGGCAGAGTGAACAGTATATGCAAAGCTTCTATGGTAGAAGGGAATATGGCACACATTAGGAAATAAAGGAAGCCAGTGGCAAGAGAAGTATAGTGTTAGATGCAGCTGGAGAGGGAGGCAGGGGCCAGACTGTGCAGGGCTCTCTAGGCCAGAGAAAGCTGTTCATTCTTTATCCCACAAATAGCATGAAATCCTTGAAGGTTTTAGGCAGGGTGAGGTCACATGAATAGAACTGCATTTTGAAAAGATCATTCTCCCTGCTTTGTGGAAGATAGACTGGAAGGGAAGTAAGAGTGGAGGCAGGGAGTCCATTTAGGAGGCTATTGCTATAATCTAGGTGAAAGATGATGGTTTAGACCAGGGTAGTAGCAGCAGACATGGAAAGAAGTTCTAGAGTTATTTAGGAGGCAAAAATGGCAATACTGTCAATTAACAATGTCTTCCAAATGACTTGTTAACATGCCTAGAAGGATATTGTCATCATTCACTGAAATTAAGAAATACTAAAAGAAAACTATTAATACATTTGAGAGATCCACCCTCACAACTCACTGATACTCATCTCTAATTCCCAAGCCAGACCTGCCCCTGCCATATTCCCTGTGTTGCAAATACAATGTATACTTCCATGTACACACAAGGCTTCTACGTGGCTCTATGCCTTTAGGCAATCTTTTCCCTACCCCTGAGATACTGGGCTGGCATTTTACCAGACAAATCTCCTCTAATTCATCAAGGCTCAGTTCAGATACTATCTACTCTTTGAAGCATTCTTAACTTCCCCTTAGGTACAAAAAAAATCATAACTTCTATTGTATACCAATAGCATTTTGCTCATGTTACTTGAACGACTTTATTACATTAAATCACATGAATACATGACTATTATATGACTGTCTTCTCAGCTATAAAATAAATTCCTGAATGATAGAAAAGACATACCTTAATATTCATTGTACCTGCTACCATCTTAGTTGCCTGTACTACTGCACAACACACACTAGGTGCTTGTTACAGGTTTGCTAAATGGAAATGAAATGCACTGCCCGCCAAGTAGAATGATTCTTGCAGGCAGAATCTTCTATGTAGTTTATTCTATGTCTGTAAGGCATCTGACCACGGAACCAGAGGACCTCCTTTTCAACTGCTCCATCATTCAGTATTAAAATTGGCTCTTTCTCATACTTCATCCCAGATTGGTTTTCTGTACCAAGGCTAAATTCAATTACAGTACCATTTACTCAAAGCCTCGAAGTAGATAAACAGAAGCACTTAACATTAACAAGGCATTTGAGCAATTTCATTGGGAATTTTTTCTGCTTCGTTTAAAAAATGAAATGAGAAAAAAGTGCCCTTAATGTAGTACTCTTTTCAGGGGGTAATTATGACAAGGAAATGATTTTAATAGCTTATAGACCTAAAGATGGAACATGCAATTTAAAATGTCCAAAATTTGAAACACAGAAGAGTAGAAGGAACACAGAGAAACAGACAATCTACTAGGCTTTCACCTTTAAGGTAAGTGAATGAGAAAGAGCAAAACTGGTAATCATGAAAATAAGTGTGAAGTTTTCAATCAGGCTGAAACTGGTGTTTAACAAAATATATGAAACTATTAGTTTGAATTATTTTCAATTTTGATATAAACCATTTCATTTAATAGTACATAATACACATCCTTCTAGGATGAGCAAAAATGTAAATTCATGAAAGTGTTAAAGAAAGTAACAATGAAATAAAAGCTCAAGTTTTCCAGAAACATGCCACACTTTAAAAATCTATGAAATCATATAAATATTAAAATGTTATATTTCTACTTTAAAAACTCATTATAATAATCCCTGGAATGCCTTTTTTATAATTACAGGGCATTTTAAGGTTAGAAATAGATTGAAAATTTGTTTGACACAATCAAGTATCTAAAAGTTGAACTGTTGTTTATGGAGCTCTTACCTGTACAAGGAAAATGATGAGAAAATAAAAATTTGCAATTCTTCTAAACTGTTCAAATAGATTCTTTGGGAGGAAATTCCAAAGTGTATACTGTAAGGGGCGGGGGGAGAATAAAAAACATTATTAGAAAGAAAACTTGAAAAGGGTATTAATTCATCTTTTTTATGGCCGAGTAGTAACTCTAAGGTATAGATATACCACATTTTATTAATCCACTAATGAATTGATGGACACTTAGGTTTATTCCAGATCTTTGCAATTGTAAATTGTGCTGCAATAACCATTCAAGTGCATGTGAATTTTTGATGAAAAGTCTTCTTTTCCTTTGGGTAGATAGTGGGACTACTGGATTGAATGGTAGGTCTACTTTCAGTTCTTTGAGGAATCTCCATACTGTTTTCCATAAGGGTTGTACTAGACCATTCTCCTAAGTGAAGTAACTCAAGAATGGAAAAACAAACACCACATGTATTAACTATTAAATTGGAACTAACTGATGAGCACACATGTACACAGAGGGAAGTAAAACATAGAAGAACTCAACCAGGAGATAGGGGGAGAAAGGGGAGGCACAAAAATCTACTTTAATGGGTATAATGAACACTATTTGGGTGACAGGCACACCTATAGCTGGGACTCAAGCATTACAAAAGTAGTCCATGTAACCTAAAACATTTGTAGCACTAATATTTTGAAATTTTTTTAAAAAAGAAAACTTGAAAAATCTTAATAATAATGACTAATATGGGTCTAGATTATCATACAGTGATATTTAATATGTCCAACACTTAGAAACCCAAACCTCACATATATGCATAAACATATATTTAGAGGTATAGTATATAAAAACATTTTTCAGAAATTAAGTTTTCACTCCGAGTATTACAATGGCCATCTAGTCCCATATCTTTGCTTTCTCTGATTCAATATAAATTAGGTTCCTTGCTATGTGCTCTCACATCATCCTACTTTTACTTCTTTGATAACATTCATTATAGTGAATTATTAATATATATGTGTACATTTTTTATTAAAGTTTCTCTCAATAGGCAATGAGCTCTATTGGGGGAGGTTGTTCATCAGTCTTGTTTACTACATTTTCCCCAAACCTAGCACAGTGCCTGGTACGAAGTTGATAATAAATTACTTGGATGAATGAACAAATTAATTCCTCTGGTTCAGCTAACCTATGGAGTCTTGATTATCTTCACCAAAAGATATAATTATGCTCCTATCAGTACCTCCCATCTCCATGACAGCTGAGAAGGTATACACACAACCCTGGATCTTAGAGGGCTTTTACCTGTTAATCAACAATATTTGGTATTTGGTAATAGGTAAAGGTTTCAAAGCTAAATTCCACATGGGCAGAAGGAGCGAACTCTCAGGCCAAGTATCAAACCACATGTACTTTCTCACTGATACTTTAAGCTCAAGGATTGGTTCATTTAAAAGTTACCAGAAGAAGTTGGGTTTTCTAGATGTCTTAATCAATAAGACCATAAAGAAAATTTTTTAACCTAAAAGGATAAATTTTAACTTGAACAATCTCCATCCCAATTATCTGCATAACATGTGAGAACATACCCATTAATAAGGTGACTGAAAAGCCAAAGTGGCTGCACAGGATGTAGTACATGAGAATGTACATTTTAAAAAGGCTTATGGCTTACTCTTGATGGAACAAGCCTAAAAAAAAAATAATAAAAAATAAAAATAAAAAATAAAAAGGCTTATGGGCTCAAAACTCAGGGAATCCGGAGAGAATAAACAGAACCAAATACACTAAGTGGAGCAGCTACATTGCAACCAATAGCCAACTAAAAAGGTTCTTTCTCTGGGTCCAAGAAAGTGCCTTAGGGAGAATCATTCAAAAATAAATGCAAAAATTGTGTGTGGATATGCCTTACTTGGGAGAAGAAAACCTATACTTTTCATGAGATTCCAAGGCAGTTTGTAACCAAACATAAAAGCCACTCAAAACCATTGATCCAGTCACTCTGAAGCTGACACACTCCAGAGTAGCACGTAACTGTCCTATTTATTTAATATCAACTTTCTAAAACAATAAGCTAAACTCCAGCAGGGTAACAGCTGAACTTCTAGTGTGTTGACCTTATGTTCCCCGACTAAAGGGTTTTTAATTAAACAAATAAACATTAGGACAGTTATAGTCCTCTGTGGAAGGTGATGTAAACACACCAAAAGGGAACACTTTCATTGTTGTTGTTTCTAAGCACCAAGTCTTAGTTTACCACTGTTTTAACTTATTAAATGAACTGCTTCCTTGAGGAATTCTGGTTATTCCCTTCATGGGAAACTATTGCCCTCTTCTCTCCTTCAAAAGGACATAAGCTAATAAGAGGTCAGGGAGCATGTCATAAGCCCCCTTACCACAGGTGCTGAGCATAAAATTTAGCTCACGCTTGTAATCCTAGTACTTTGGGAGGCCAAGGGGAAGGATCACCTGAGGCTAGGAGTTGGAGCCCAGCCTGCAAGACCAGCCTGCATAAGAGCAAGACTTCGTTTCAACAAAAAACAGAAAAATTAGCCAGGTGTGGTGGTATACACCTGTAGCCCCAGCTACTCAGGTGGCTGGGGCAGGAAGATCTCCTGAGCCCAGGAGTTTGAAGTTGCAGCGAGCTATGATGATGAGACCCCCATCTTCACACACACACACACACACACACACACACACACGCACGCACGCACGCACGCACGCACGCACGCACGCACGCACGCACGCGCACGCACAAACACACCCACAAAAGACATACAAGAAACCTCAAAAAACGTGCCTTGGCCATTTACTCCATTGATTTAGCTAAAAGGCAAATTAAGTTTCTATCACCTCTTTTCATTATAATAGAAATGTAACATTTTAATGTAGACCAAGACAAGCCTACTTTTTGCAGTTTTCTAATTAAACATGAAATTGTGCTAGAGCCATGTATACCAAGTTATTCAAATTGACTTATTTATCTAAAAAGTGGACTCTCAGGCTTGGTCAGTTGCTACAAACCAAAAGCAATGTTAATCACAGGGAGAAAATGTGTATAGCAGTTGTTTTAGAGACAATGGTGAGAATTGAGGGGTTTTTTTTAGGGTGGGGGGTGGTCATAAGTAAGTTCTTGCTCAGAAGTCAGTAAATGGATCTTTTATCCTATTCTTCACATGCAACTATAAACTGAAAAAGAACTCTGACATTTAGAACATGCTTTTAACTGTTTCTTCAGAAAAAATGCCAGCTTTCCAAGTATATACAATGCAATTTCCATCGGCTTTGTAGTGAATTAAATAATTGGTACACAAGTGTGGCCTCTAAAGATGCAATTATGTTACAAAGTTGTGGGTCCCTGCCTTAAACATCTACCATCTAATTTAATTTGAACCAAAAATCTTACAAATTTTCTAAACAAAATCTCCTAATTCCAAGGAGAGAAGCTGAAGTGACTCTCAGCTTTGAGAATCTATTATTTCATTTAAGCAAAAAGAGGTTTTAGAACTTTACCTATTTTACCTGTTCTGGTTTATCCAAAATTTCTAATTTAGCATTAAAATTGATGATTAGGAAGCTAAAACTTCAAATAACTTGTTCTAATATGTCTGTGTAGCACAAAAGAAAGGGAAGCAGGTAAAAAATGAAGTAGTAGCTATTTAAAGTAACTAATAAAGTTAACAGCCAATTGTGAATGAACTACTAGAATGAACACTGACTTCTAACTATCAGAAGGATTTGGAAACAATGGAACAAAATATATTACTTTGAGTAGCTATAAATAAGCACACAGTTGTAAGTAAGCAGCTCTATCTTAAGTTAACTGTTCACTTTGCTAAATTATTGTACCCATTCTATTAACAACTCTTGTTGATGTAGGCATTAAATCCAATTTTGAGCATCACAGCAGTCTACTTTCATTTTCATTACTAGTATCACACAGAACTTTCCCTTCTTTATGCACTGCCCTTTAAACAATAAATTCAAGCGGAAGAGCAAAAAAAAAAAAAATTACGAGGACATAACTAGATCAGAATTCAGTCACTTTAAACAGGCACCATCAGAGAGGTAAGACTGAAACAAAGAGAAGTCTAATAAATTCTACTGATGATTCTGATTTTTAAAATAAGGAGACATGCTACTGTAATTTTAGGCTTGAAACTTTAATCCAGGACATTCTTGCACATAGGAGTACTAAGCTCAACTGGGGGCATACTTTCAAAAAGAGTTAGGTAGAGCTCACTGACTCTTATTCCTTCCAAGGGCCTTCAAGATGAGGCTCATGATTTTTAAAGAAAACACTACAGAACAGATAATCAAGATGGAAACCAAAGATCCTAACATGGTTCAAACAATGCTCCTGTTGCTAAAAAAGGGAATGCCTAAGTTTTGTACTCGTTACAAAATTCTGGTGATTCATACCAAATCCCTACAGAGTACATTAAAGTAGTAAGGCTGTAGAGGACAAGATTTTCCAATGAAAATATTTGTATTCCCAGGAGAAAATAAAAGAACACTTATTTTATAATTAAACAGAACTTAAAGTCGAAGTGTTTATCTTCAATATTCTCTGCATTAACAACATCTACTCCCAGTGTTACGTTGACATTTATAAACAAAAAGGCACTCAATTAAAATATTTATAATTTAAGGGTAAAGAAAGGAAATCAACACTTGCTATGAAGTTGGAAAGCAGATGACATACTCTATAAATTGTATATTTCTTCAATTAAAAGATTCTGGCACAAACAGCCAAAAGACAATGTGAGGAAGAAAAATTATGAAACTGTTGGTCTCTCCAGAGTAGACCTGAAGGTCTCCTTTTAAGAGAGAGCATCTCACACATTCAAAACATATGACCCTGAGGAAATTAATATTAACAGTACTGTTCAGTACTGTAATAGTAATCACAGACACACAAATAACAATAGCAGCTACCATTTACTGAGTTGTTACTGCATACAAGGCACAGCGCTAAATGCTTTATGTGGATTATTTTATTTCATCCTTAGCACAATCCCATGAGGTAGATACTATTAATATCCCTATTTTACAGAAAAGAAAACTGAGATGCAGAGAGATTAAAAGACTTATTTTAACTTCAAACCCAGGTCTTCAGTCTCCAAGGATGAAGCTCTTCAGTACTACATAGTATATTATCCTCATAATTATTTATTGTATTAAGATTATATTATTAAGATTTCATTCTTTTTCAGAAGTTACTATACTGCCAATTCTTTTTCTGCTCTACAGTGTTTATGAAAAAGCAGATAAGTTAATCAATAGTTAATTAGAAAGACTATAAACATGATATTCATAGAGAAAAAAAGAGATCCTAGTCTATCAATGTAGAAATGCTCACTTCTTTATCCTAGTTTCATATATATATGAAAATCTGTTTAGAAACAGAATTTTATTTGCAGGCGGGCTCCTATTTTTTTAAAAAAATATTCTACTGTATTGTTTTACCTACTTGCAAAACTGAAGCTAGATAAAATATGGAAAAATATTTCATTAAATACATAAACAGTGAGAATTAGACTGAGTCATACATTCTTTCAAAATGTGAAAACAGGCCAGGCGCAATAGCTCATAGCAGTTTGGGAGGCCAAAGTAGGAGGATCAGTTAAAGTCAGAAGTACCAGCCTGGGCAACATAACGAGACCCTGTCTCTATAGAAAATGAAAAAAATTAGCCGGGCACAGTGGCGCCTGCCTGTAGTTCCAGCTACTTGGGAGGCTGAGGCAGCAGTATAGCTTGAGCCCAAGAATTCCAGTCTATAGTGAGCTATCATGCTACTGCCTTCCAGCCTAAGGCAACAAAGTGAAATCCTGCTTCAAATAAAGAAAAAAAAAAAAAAGGCTAGGCATGGTGGCTCACGCCTGTAATCCTAGCACTCTGGGAGGCCAAGGCGGGCAGATCCTTTGAGTTCAGGAGTTCGAGACCAGCCTGAGCAAGAGGGAGACCCCTGTCTCTAATAAAAAAAAAAAGTACTATTCAGCTCTAAGAAACAATGGTGATATAGCACATCTTATATTTTCCTGGTTAGAACTGGAACCCATACTACTAAGTGAAGTATCCCAAGACTGGAAAAACAAGCACCAGATATATTCTCCAGCAAACTGGTATTAACTGAGTAGCACCTAAGTGGACACATAGGTGCTACAGTAATAGGGTATTGGGGAGGTGGAGGGGGAGGGGGGCGGTTATATACATACATAATGAGTGAGATGTGCACCATCTGGGGATGGTCATGATGGAGACTCAGACTTTGGGGGAGGGGGAAATGGGCATTTATTGAAACCTTAAAATCTGTACCCCCATAATACCAAAAAAAAAGAAGAATTAGCTGGACAGCTAAAAAATATATATATATATATATATATATATAGAAATTAGCCGGGCATGGTGGCGCATGCCTGTTGTCCCAGCAACCCGGGAAGTTGAGGCAGGAGGATCACCTGAGTCCAGGAGTTTGAGGTTCCTGTGAGCTAGGCTGACGCCATGGCACTCTAGCCCGGACAACAGAGTGAGACTCTGTCTCCAAAAAAAAAAAAAAAAAAAAAGTGAAAACATAAATTATATCACAACAGAATGATTGCCACTAGTTTGACGAAAGTCACTTTACCTTCCTCCACATAAAATACTATGGAAAACAATTCCCTAGAAAATACTTTATCTTTCACTTTGATGCAAAAGGAGAGAAAAAAGTGAGGAAGGAGCCCAAATAGCACAATGATGTGAAAAGAGCTCTTTTGTTTGGTGCCATTAGACCTTATAAATTTGTTCTGCTCCTGGCTTTATCATTAACTCTGCTTGGTGATCATGTCACTAACTTAATCTCTCTGGGTTTGGTTTCTCCACCTGTAAAGTCAGTGAGTTGAACAAGATAACCTCTTAGGACTTTTCAGGTCTACAAGTACACAATTCCATGTCAAAGGACTACTACTGATTGTTTAATTGGATACAACAAGGTGAGTAAAAATTTCCAGTAAAAAGACTATTCAGGCCGGGCGTGGTGGCTCACGCCTGTAATCCTAGCACTTTGGGAGGCCGAGGCGGGCGGATTGCTCAAGGTCAGGAGTTCGAAACCAGCCTGAGCGAGACCCCGTCTCTACCAAAAATAGAAATAAATTAATTGACCAACTAAAAATATATATACAAAAAATTAGCCGGGCATGGTGGCGCATGCCTGTAGTCCCAGCTACTCGGGAGGCTGAGGTAGTAGGATCGCTGAGCCCCGGAGATTGAGGTTGCTGTGAGCCAGGCTGATGCCACGGCACTCACTCTAGCCTGGGCAACAAAGTGAGACTCTGTCTCAAAAAAAAAAAAAAAAGACTATTCACTATTTGGGGCACAGGTATATAAACCTCTGCCTGAGAATAAAATTTCTGCCACAAGGGTATAAGATTAACAGGAAACAGACATTTTATCCAAATATTCTCAGAGTGTTCTATAGGCCTGTTGATCTGCTCTTAGGAAACAAAGTTTTCACTTGTCCTTATCATATTTCACATGTTTCTCTACTGTATCACAAACCAAAAAAAAAAAAAAAAAAAGAAATTAAATGCATGTTTGAAAACCAAAATGCTATGTTTTTAAGAAGAGCATAATTTTGTGTTTCAGGTCTTAAATGATTGCAAATGTGCAGTGAACCAAACATTGTATCTCTGCCTTACCAGGCTGCATGAGGAAGTAAGGAAAATGATCAAGAACCGTTCCATGCTACAAGATATGGCAGTAGGCCAACCATCTAGCACCTAGCCTAGTCAACCAGAGGGAAAGATTAGTAAATTAATACTTACAGAATGATCGTTACTGTGACTACTGGGTATTATAAACTATAAAAAGTGTTTTCACATATGGAGTATTAGTCCCATTTCACCAATCAGGACATTCTGACTCAGAGTGATTAATTTGGCCAAGGTGACACAGCTAGTAAATGTTGGGCCAGGATATAAATGCAGGTGTTCAGACTTCCAGTCCACTGCTCTTAGTGCTACACTATGCTGAAGATGATTAGTCAAATGGTGACACAGCTGCAATGATTTAACTCTTAACAGGTCACAAGTCAAGCAGTATACTGAGTAGAATGAACCCTTTAGGACCCAGGAATGTACTTGAGAAGATGGGGTAGGAGGTGGGGAGTTGGCAGGGGAAACAGAAAGTGATGCAAATAAAGTCATACCAGAACAGCATCCTCCAAAAGAATGCAAATCATTTATATCCTAGTCTAGCCATTCAAGGGTACTTCTGGAAGCTTTGCATAAGTAAATCATTCCTGATTTTAGCACATTTTAAGTCTTATAGTAATATGCATGATAAACAGGCACTGTGAATCATAATGGAAGGCAAGTAAATATCTTTCAGCTCTAAGAAGACAAAGTGATGAATTTTTTTAATAAACTGCCTTTCAGAGGGATAACTGCCATAGTTGGTATATCATCTGTATAAGTACACATCCAAATATGTGTATATATAAATGCATTAGCATCCTCAGAAGCATAAAAATAAGTATATTATCTGACTCACTATATGAACATCTATTCAGTGTTTTTTTAAAAAAAAACTTACCTTAGATGAGACTATTCTATTATCACAAAATCTTTGTGCAATGTAAGCTTCTGTTTCCAAAACTGGATGACTGCCAACAAACACTGTACGTGTACCAACTCGTTTCTCTTCTCCAGCACACTGACGAAGAGAAAGAGGAAAAAAGTCAGTCTTTCATCACATTTCCCCATGCTTTTACCAAGCTCAGAACTGTCGTCTAAGCATATCTGGCTATAATGTGTGGAGAAAATAGTAGGGAGAGGAGAAAACTTTGTTAGGAAATTCAAAATCCACTAAGCTCTTACTTCCTGACTTAGTAAAGATTAGTAAACATGTTGCTTGAACCAACTGTTCTAAGGCCAAAAGTGCAATTCTAAAATGATTAAAGAAAAGTGTCCTAGAGAAACAATATTTTTACTGCCAATCATTTTTCTTTCATCCACAGCCCAAATGAACCTCAAACATCACCTTCACAGCAACATACTTACTTAGAAAAGGTTGGACTGGGAATATTTATTATAAAACTGTCGAGTACAACTTTATCAACTACCTTATCAGATAGCAGAAACATAATGCAAATTACTTCTAAACACACACAAAAAATACTTATAAGTATACAGGTCATAAATAGAATGGCTGCCTCTACTAATGGAAAGACCAATGATTTCTATAAAGAAACTGTAATTCTTTGGCTTTACAGAGAAGAATTTTTTTATAATCTCTCAGAGCCTATTATCATATGCTCCCATTTTACAAATATATTTCTAATGCCCCTTTTATATATTTTCTTAAAAGTAGATTTGCTGAATCTAAAAGTCCCACATCACCCTTTAATTTTGCTGAGGCTTCACTGTTTTCTTAAATCAGGATAATACACTTCTTTATATAAATTTGGGATAGTCTCCTTTGATGGTACTATATTACCATGTCTGAGACTACCAAATATTTAAGTCAAAGGAAGTATGATAGAAAGCAATGTTCATTTATATGTTTCCATTATTTTTAAAAGATAATTTTCCAACCTAAAATGTTTTAATACACGTAGCCATAAAGATTTTCCTTCTTCTCAATGATATATTTAAAGGTCAAAGATATAAATCCCCACCCTCAAAATGATCATTTTTAGCAGACTACTTACAGCTTCCAAAGTCTTCCAAATATCTACTATGTTTGGGTGTATTCAAGTCTGAATTTGTGTACCTTATGCAAATATTATATATAAAATTATTTCTTAGTTTAAAAATCGCCCCAAAGTACAGATAAAATCTCTTTGCCTTTCCATTTTCATTTAAGCTTGTGACATATTCAGTGGGGTGTTGCCTTCCAAATTCCTAGGGAATTGCTCAAAGTAATTGGGATAAACTGAAGTAGGAGAGAGATTTAGGCTGTATATAAAGGGTAAAATTTGGAAAACTACCCTGGCATAAGCTAAGGGAATTTGTGGAATCCCTGGAGATCTGGAAAAAGTCAGTAAGTAACTGTGATGGAGAGCTTAACCATTTTCCTGACTGCCCAAAGATAGGGCATAAGCATTTGTGCAATGTAAGCTCTACCCCGAAAATAAGACCTAGTGATGGGCGTGGCTACTCAGCGTATCTGCACAACCCATGCATTTCATCACAGAGTGGTAAAGAAGACAAGCAGCCCTTCTCATCTGCCCCATAAGAGCTTTGTTGCTGGACATGAGAGATTGGGGCCAATGGTTCTAAAGGAAATAGAGTCGCAAGAAATTCAGGATGGAATTCGGGGTTTGGAGACTTATGATGATGTTCCAGAAGAAGACGACTTAATTATATTTGAATAAATGTAGATTGTTGTACCATACTTAAAAAAAAAAAATAACACATCCCCTGAAAATAAGCCCTAGGGTGTCTTCTTGAGGAAAAATAAATATAAGACCCTGTCTTATTTTCGGGGAAACACAGTATACAGGGTCTCACACACCTTACTGATAAGATCACTAAATTTTCCATAATGTCCATTTTGCAAAACTGAAACTAAAATTGAACACACCTGTCAGACGTATAGTTTATTTGGTTTCAACGCTACTCCCAACTTCTGTTGCAGGGTAAGACCTTTCTGTAATCTCCACAGCAGACCTGACCCTTATAATGTACCAATTTGAATTACAAAAAATGTCAAGTCTATGTGCACTGTGAAATTTGCAAGCTTTAATTTAATATTCATATGGCTGTTCAGTTTTCCACACAAGCAAAAGTCGCTGTAGAGTAAATAAGAGTTTCCTTTTATGCAAGTTCTCAGGTCATGCTACAAAGTAGAAAGGGGGTGAGGCAAAGGAGGTAGAGGGTCAATGAAGCAGGATGTTTCCTACACTGCCAATATAGATTAATTTCCCCCTCAATTACAGTGGCTACTGATTAACTTAAAACAAAAATGAACTAGTGGCCGGGCGCTGTGGCTCACGCCTGTAATCCTAGCTCTTGGGAGGCCGAGGCGGGCGGATTGCTCAAGGTCAGGAGTTCAAAACCAGCCTGAGCAAGAGCGAGACCCTGTCTCTACTATAAATAGAAAGAAATCAATCGGCCAACTGATATATATATATAAAAAAAATTAGCCGGGCATGGTGGCACATGCCTGTAGTCCCAGCTACTTGGGAGGCTGAGGCAGAAGGATCACTCGAGCCCAGGAGTTTGAGGTTGCTGTGAGCTAGGCTGACGCCACGGCACTCAAAAAAAAAAAAAAAAAATGAACTAGTACTTCCCTAATTCTGAACTGTTTTCGATATTCTTCTGTACAAGAGAATAAAAGGAAGAAAAAAAAGTATAATGTAATTTTTATGTATATTTTATGAATTCCCTATATTTGAATGGCATTTATAGTTTTATTAAGAGCTTTCCCCATATATTATCTCTCTGATGTCTTTTGAATAAGGCCTAAGTGACCTCTATCTCCACTTAATTGGAAAAAATGGATTGAAATTACTGTGCAGGGGAGTGTGTGTGTGTGTGTGTGTGTGTGTGTGTGTATAGATTACTGCAGTGATTGTTGTTAGGTGATAAAATAGAGGCCTGAAAGAAGCTGCAGAATCTTCACTTCTGAATATTTTTCAAAATAGTGCAAAATCTCCTTTGCCCAGACAGGTTTGGGTTTAGAGGTGCCTGAGGACTAGGGGTGGGTTGGTATGAAGCACATGACTTTTCCATGCCTGTTTCACCCTAAAATTTGATGAACATGCAATTTCTGGTGGAATTTCCTGCAACTGTATAATACTGTTTGGTTTACATAAAAATGGCAATGCTGAACTCACATGTAAATTTTCTGCGATTTTCCACTTCCTGCGATTTTGAACAATGTACATGCCTGTGCAAAAGCAGAGAAAACTCTATGCTTTCTCATTAAAAAAATTCCCATTTGGATGGCACACGATGTAGTCTAGAGTGGGAGTGTAGGATTCCTGCTACCTTGTGATGAATTTTAACTCATTAAGAATCCACTCTGTGTGGAACTGCTTCCATCCAAATGTCCTTAAGAACAGCATCTTTTGCAACTTGAAATATGCTGGCACCAACTCTACTTTAACGACAAATCACATACTACATCTAAAGTATGGCAAATGTTAGAAAGCATATTTACTGGGGAAGGATATACCTCTAACCCTTGCTAGGGAGAGGCAAAGATATAAAATGTAATCAAAATGTTTAGAAAAAAGGAAAACAAACATTTGTCAGGGGTGCAACAAGTAGGAGGGGGGAGGAAAGAATGGGTATATACATACATAGTGAGTGTGATGCACACCATCTGGGGGATGGACAGGCTTCAAGCTCTGCCTCCCAGGGGGAGGGGAGACAAGGGCAATGTATGTAACCTTAATGATTGTACCCCCATAATATTCTGAAATTAAAAAAAAGAAGAAGAAAATTCCCCCCCCCACACACACAGAAGTTCCATTATGAAATTATAAACTCAGAGATTATGTATTAATTTTTGCAAACAGTAAACATTCAGGGCAAGTTATGTCTTTATATTATATGTTTTCATTGCATATTATCTGTCCTCACTGTAATTTTAAAAGTCTCTTTATAATTATATTTGTTGAATAACCATTTCTTCCATTACACCGAAAGCTCAATGAGAGAGGGAAAAATGCATATTTACAATACAAGAATAGAGAAAGCAACTTAAAGTTCCTCCTCAAAATAAAAATCACCCTTTGTACTCCTGATTTATACCTTCACAGTATAAGCTGAATATTGTTTTATAAAAAGCTAGAAATTATACCCCAAACCAGCCTCTCAATAAAAATCTAACAGAGTAAAACGGTACTCTTATTCAACTGGTATTGTCTTAAAATCCTGTCTTCCCTACTCATAAAAAATGAAAAGCTGCTGGAAGCATAATTTGTTTTTTGACTGCCTCCAGACCAGTGACTAGATAAGAACTGAAGAAAACTAGAGACCTCAATACAAAACTGTCACTATAAAAGCTGGCACAGGATCTGAAACAAAGCCTACCTCTCTCTCCGTGTTTTCCAGGCATTAGAAGACTTAAATTTATCATTTAGCCATAGACCTGTGATTCTTAATCCTGGCCACATATCAGCTTTAAATACAATACTATACCTGAGTCTTTCACTTAATATTTAACTTTTTTGGAAGTTACTCAGGTGACAATTCTAATTTGCAACCAAGGCTGAGAATTACTTCCCCAGACTCTCTCTTTTAGTCAGTGATGGCCCTTAACTAACATTCCACAGGTTTTTGGTATATCAACCATAATCCTACACTTTGGAGAGGGTGGGAAGGGGTGAGGGATGAAAAATTACCTATGGTATACAATGTACACTACTTGGGTGATGGGTACACCAAGAACCCACACTCCAGTGCTATACAATATATACATGTAAAGAAATTCAACTTGCACCCCCTAAATCTATTAAAATTTAAATTTTAAAAAATCCTGCACTTTTTAATTAAAATAATTTAAACAACTTGCCTTACAATGAATAAAAATACAAATAACCCACACATACTGTCTCCTCCAACCATTTTAAGCTTCTCGCAAAATGAGATTCTCTTTCAATACTTCATTTTGCATGTAGTTAATATCTCATCAATTAGTCAGACCATTGATAATGAAAACTGCAGGCCAATATAATACAAAGATACTTGAATTATCAGCAA